TACTGGTCTGAGAAGATACTGGTGGAACCCCTGAGCCCATGACCCTAACACACTCATGAAGACTGGAACACAACTCACCCAATGGCTCCATTTTTAGACAAACAACAGACAGGTTCATAAGGTGAGCAATAACACCAGGGAATGAGTTACACACTCCATAGAACAACCAACCCTGTGACAGCCAAAGGGCATGTGCCGAGGAATGAAGCTCAGAAGACAGGAATGGACAAGAAAAAGACACATGAAAAGAAGTAAGCTCCCGGTGGAAGTAGGAAGAATGCTGTTATATTGTAAGACTTGTTTGCAATCCATGTTACAAAACAAAATATGTATGAACTGCTGAGTGGAAAACCAATGTTCTTTGTAAGTATTCACCAAAATCGCATCAAAAAACTTAAAAAAAAAAAAAAAAGACAACAACAAAACCACCTGGGCTTATTTCTATGTAGTCCTTTCTACTCTGTTGTCTGTGTTCTTGTTCATTTTCACTCCTTAGGCAGTGGGCTTCTAAACTCAAGGTTGGCAGTTCAAGCCCACTAGATCTCCACTGAAGAAAAATGATGCTGCTTAGAAAGATTTATAGCCTTGGAAATCCAGTGTAGAGTTGATATGAGCCAGAATTGATTCCATGATAGTGGGTTTGGGTTTGGGTGTGATCACCCACTACATGTTCTAGTGCCTATTGCAAGCCACATATTTTTTTTTGCTAAGCATTAATTTATATTATTTCCAGTTATTGAACAAAAAAACAGAAAGATGATGGATAAGTCTGGAGAGAAATAGATGAAAAGAAATGAGTAATGACTGGTAGTGAGTTTGGCTTCACAGTTTTCCTGATGAGGTTAATTGAAGGAAGATCTTAATACAAGGTAACAAGAAAGGCTTAGCAGAGTACACTTCAGGAAAAATTGCTGTGAAATCTTTATATTTATTTTGGCTTGACATCAAGTAGCAATTACCTACCAACTCCCCTTTTCTCTTCCAAACACAAGCAACCCAGTCGTCCAAATATTACTCTTTAGCATTCCAAACTAACCAAGCATTCCAAACTAACCAACCACCAAAACAACATTCCAGGAGAGCCAGAAGATTGTGTGTGTGATACATCCATCTGTTCTTTGTAAGAAGCAGCTACGCAAGTATAAATTTCTGCGATGATAGACAGGCTCTGGTTTGGTTTGAATCATCTCCAGGTTCTAGATTATATTTTCTGAAGTATGTTTGTTAAAATATCCATTATAAGAAAACTAGTTATGTGCTTTCTGTTTTTTGGTATAAAGGAACTTTAGTGCCCTCCAATCTCCCGAGTACAAATTTTATTTTTTTTAAAACTCAAAGTATAGTAGACCACATCTAATGCACTAGAAAAACATAGAGTTAAATGTTTCTTATTTTCACTTTTATTTTTCGAAGTCAGGTTTGTTGAGGTATAATAGACAGAAAATAAAACTTTACCTTTTTTGGTGTAGTCGTCTGTTAATTTTAACAACAAATTCAGTTGTATTACCACCACCAGAAATCATAAAAGTTGTATTATCACCATCAGAAATTATACATGTCCATCATACCCCAAAGTCCATGTCCCTTTGTAGACATATTCCTTCCCCATCAACTCTTCCCCAGCCTCAATACTGAGCTGTCTTTAGTTTGAACTTTTCCACACGTGATACAGTAAATAGTCATTTGAATCTGACTTCCTTCCCTTAGCATAATGCTTTGGAAGTTCAATCAGATTGTGAACCTTGTTTCTCTTTAGTACTGAGACGTATTTCACTGTATGGGTGTACCATAACTTTCTTTTCCGTTCACTAGTAGATGGGCATTGGGTTGTTCCCAGGCATGGTGATAATGAAGATAGCTGCCTGAACATTCCTGTTCAGGTCTTTGTGGGGACACATGCTTTCATTTATCTTAGGTAAATCCCTAGCAGTGGTGTTACTGGGTCATACAGTAAATGTAAGGTTAGCTTTGTAAGAAACCACAATTTTGCTTCCCCATCAGCAATTCCAGCTGTTTTGTATTTTTCCTTACATTTAGGACTCTCAGTTTAACTCTTCTAATACTTGTATAGTGGTATGTTAAGGTATTACTTTGTTATTTTCATAAACTAATGATGTTGACCATATTTCCACATGCTCATTTGTCACATGTATATATATCTTCTTTGGTGAAGTGTCTGTTCAGGAAGAGTGGCTAGTAAGATATCCTTAGAGACACAGGAACTTTAGTGGGGCTATAGTTGCTGGATTTCTGGGTTGCGGTAGGTGTAGACCTTTGATTAAGGGGAGGTACATCCCCACTGAAATAAGGGTATGAGCTGGGGTACAGAGGGTGGGGTCCATGTAGAAGAGGGAATCTTACACAAATGGCCTGGAGATTAGGTCTCCCTGGGGAATCAGCTCAGATAAGGGCAGTTTACTCAGGAAATTACTAGGGAGACATAGGTAGTCCAGGCTTCACTAAGGGACATAAACTAGTTCTAGGAATATAGAATAACTTTAGGCCTTCCTGTCCTACCTGAGGGGCCCTGGTGTAGTGGTTACACATTGGGCTATGATCGGCATGGTTGGCAGTTAGAAATCACCAGAGCTCTGTGGGAGAAAGACTGGGCTTTCTATTCCTGTAAATAGTTAGTCTTGGAAATCTACAGGGGACTGGCAGTGAATCCATGGCACTGAGTTTTTGTTTTTCGCTGGTGGGGGCGGGGGTGTCCTACCTGAGGAACTCTGGTGGTGTAGTGGGTAAGCACTGAACTGTGATCTGCAAGATCAGCAGTTTAAAACCACCTGCTGCTCTTCAGGAAAAAGACGAGGCTTCCTACTCCTGTAGCGTGTGTCTCAGAAACTGACAGGGGTAGTTCCCCTGTCCTATAGCATGGCTATGGGTCAGAATGGACTCAACAGCAACGTTCGGTTTTGTTCCACCCAACTATTCAGAACAGTCCAGTCAGATTGGGTTCTTACTGGTTTGGGGATGTGTGAGTGGGCTGACCCTGTATCAGATCTTTGCATTATTCGCTGGGAGGAGTCTGGTAAGGCGGGGACCTAGTATTCCTGGTCACATTGGCATCAATGTATTCTAACAGTGCTTCTCAAGTTCACTTGATAGACACCAACTAATTTAGATGGGTTGATGTAATTTTATTGGCTTGTTGTTAGATCTCTCTTAAGGTTTTAACAAATGGGCAGCTGCAATATGAAGGAGGGCAGGAAAACGTGAGAAGTCTTGAAATCAGAAGATGCGAAATTTCCAATTACTCTGCTTTTAAGGGTCTTATTTTGAGGTGCTCCAGTGGCACACTGGGTTACATGTTGGGCTGCTAACTTCAGGGTAAGTAGTTCAAATCCCTAAGTTTCTCCCAGGGAGGGAAGTTTACAGCTCAGAAACACAATGAATAAGTTCTACTCAGCCCTACAGAGTTGCTATGAGTTGTAGTGGGCTTGAAAATTTTTTTTCATCTTGTTATTTCAAATTTTCTAGGAACAAAATCACTTGAAGACAAAATGCTGCTAAGCTTTCCATAGATTATGTGTGTTTTAAGAAAGACTAAGATTGGCAACTCAGAATTCAAACTCAGTGATCTTACTGACACTGCATACAAGATCTAAAGACTTTGGAGAAGTCATCATTGGTCCATCAATCTATAGAATTCGTGGATGAAACAACCTTTAAATGCTATATAATGTAGTAGTCTTTAATGTTCAACACGGGTTCTAACTGAAAGACAATTCTGACCACATTGGATAGTTTGCATCAGTAAGAAAGTTTATTGAAATTTATCAATAAATGAGAATAGAAAGTTTTTCTTTTTCTTTCCATTAAAGGACACTTTCTGGTAAAGTGAAAAGAAGAAATACAGAAACCACGAACCACCTTTGAGACCCTTGTTTTCAAGGAGCGAACCGTTTCCACAGACCAGGAAGATTGAAGCACTTTTCTCAGAGCTGTTGTTTCCAGGCACTGATGTAGAATGGTCTGTAGGACGGGAGAGTTTCGTCTCGATGTGACTTAATAGAACTGTTTCTTAGTTTCTGATTCAACCATAGACGAAAGGACTCTACCATCGGGTGACACCTCTTCAATAATTGTCTTGATCACTCTGGTCTTGTTAGTATCTGTACATGAACAATGAAAAATAAGTGGAAGTGTAGACCGAACAATTTGTGTAAGTCTTTGCTAATGAGCAACGACACACCTACAAAGCACCCCCCCGCCAAACACACACCTTAAATTAATAAAGAAAGAAAACGCAACTTCTGGTTAGGCTGCTTTAAAAACAACAAAAAATCAGGGAACGTTTAAGGCACAGCATTTTTAGACCATGCCATTGGAACCTCTGTGAAATTCTGTACACTTTACGAACAGTTCTAGAACCGAAGCAGCCTCAGACTCATCACCGAAAGTTAAAACGGATTCTGATTACCCCAGCTAGTTTCAGCTGACCTGGGTCCTTTGGAAGAGTTTTCGCCGCCAGCCCCGGAAGAGGAAGTCTTGTGGCCTCCACTTCCGCCCTGGCCGCCGC